TCTAAGGTTCTAAGGTTTACAAAGATTAAAGATTGGCTCTCAGGGAGTTGGAAGTTGAAAGTATAGTGTTAGTTTTGGAAGGACCATATTGACATATTCTGAAAAGAGTCAACTCTTGTTCAGGAGTAATAGTCAAAAGGGGAATATGGAAATGTTCCCATAAGTGGAAGTTATTCATTAAATCTGTGTAAGATTAGGAAACTTAATGCAATAAGAATGTTCAAAGCAATGAACTTTGAATATGAGACTTCGTTTCCATGGAGTTGATCTCCATTGGAATACTCTGTAATGTCTGTTGACAAGTCTTTGTGACTTTGTGCATAATCATTACAAGAGGACCAATGCATATAAGTTTAGAATCTAACAGATTTAGGTAAATGGCAGGAATTTGGAATTCTTGCATTTGCGGTAAAGATTTGGGATTGTGAAATGAGTATCATTGGAATTATGTTTAATCGATCTATTTCGCAGAGTAAAGATCATAGACAAACTTAGTGTGCATACTTGGTGTATGGCATAACTAATGTTTGGAAATACATAGTGTGCATACTTGGTGTATGGCATGACTAGTGTTTAGAAAAAACCATAGTGTACATGCTTGGAGCATGGGACAACTATTGTTTTAATTCAAGTATAAAGTTGATAGTTTGAAACAGTATGCAATGAATAATGTGATAAATAAAAGATGTTTTATTTATATTCATAAGTTCTGAGAGCATATTTGATTCGATTATTCATGTGTTTCACTTTGCATGTTTTGACTTCCAGAATAACTAGGTCATTCTTCCCGAATGACTAAGTTATTCAAACCATCCACAGTCGGTCATATGTTGGAAGTAGATATGAATCAAGACTGTCATGAAGCTGGATTGTAGATGTCCAAGGTATGGGACATAGCACGAGTTGCTGCAACATTCATGAGTGCTCATAAGTTCTGAGTATTAGATTCAACCCATGCTCATTGGTATCACTTCATGGAATTTATCTCGAGTGATCGTGAGACGGTAATATCATATAAGTCTTCAAACCTAGAGATATGACTTGTTGCCTATGATTTGGTTATACATTGATTGTACGAAAACGCATTGGTAACTCGATGTTATAAAATGTGCCTTTGTGTATGATTCAACAAGTAGTAGAACAAGCATATGAGTCGAAGTTTATCTGTTCCTTCTTGGATTAGAAGCAATATCTGGGCCCCTCGATGATTTTGTGTTGACCCATGTACCGGGCCCGGTCAGAACTAAGTTGATGTGTTCAATTATGTTCTATGTCAGACAAATCGGAAATCGGGAAACAAACTGCTGGACAATAAGTAAGACATTGTTCCATGTATTTGTCTGGCTGATATCTAGAACAGAGGATTATACGATCACTTATCTTAAATGGCGTATCATCATCATCTCAGTTCCGCGAGACCTTGAAAGAGCTACGATTGCTGATCGGTTCCTGAAGTTATTCTTGCAGATATAGTTATTAGACTTATCCAAGTGGGAGACTGTTAGATTAGGTGTCTAAGTTCATAACTATTTCTGGGATGGACTTGACCCAGTTAGCATGGTTCATTTGGGTTGCATGGCATTGCAACACTTGGATAGACTAAATGAGAGAAAGGACACTTAAGGATTATTAATATATTATAAGTTCTAATATATTAATAATATTATTTAATTAGTATTGATCAAAGAATTGATTTGAAATTAATTAAGTGATCAAAAAGAAACTAATTAAATATATGGGGTTGATTGTGTAAATAATCTATTCTTATATAGTGGGCTAATGATCCATGGTTTGTGTGGATTGGGCGAAAAGCCATAAGGTGCTCCATGGATAAGCCATGGAGGTTACAAACCTATGGATAATGGAATATGAAAAGCGATGACAATTAGGATTTACATGGTGTAACCCTACTTGTGCCACAACTATATAAAGACCCCTAGTCTAGCAAAATCGGCAATACTTGTACAAGATAGAGGGCTAGCCGATTTTGAGGTGCAAGTGAACTTCTCTCAAGTCTATTCCAAGAGTTGTAGTGTTGTGTGAGACATTTGAGGCATCACACTTGAGGTGCTAGGCTCACAAGGTTCTCAAGGAATCCAAACTACAAAAGGTATGTTCTTCTTCTAGCATTTATGTTTAAAAGTTCCCCAAGGTATGCTAGATAGGTTAAGAACCTTGGAAAATCAATTTTGCATGTATCATAGTAAAACATAGATCCAAGGTTTCTAGGGTTGCATGTACACCTTAGGAGTGTTAGAATGCTCAAAACCCTTCAATTCTATCATGCAATCGTGAGTAGATTCTTTGACCTAAACTAGCATGTGATTCTCATATCACAACATAAAACATATAACATGTATGGGTATTTTGGGAAGACTTACTTGAGTTCGGTTGATTGCATGCACCACACCCCTTTCTTTTATTAGAAAACCTTTTTGAAAAACATTTTCTTTCATAAAGAAAACTTACCAAATCCTTAGTTTGAGTTCAGACACACCTGAGAGTACGTTCGAATCCCTCAAACCAAGGCTCTGATACTAACTTGTAACGTCCCCAAAACTTATAACCAAAAATTTCATTTTATATTAGATAAAAAACCAACCAATACTTGTTCATAGAAAACCAAAATGGGAAGTCAGAGTATATCATCCATATCCAAAATACTTCAGAGTCAATAATGCGGAAAGCATGGTGTGTGCAATACGATCATCCCGAGCTCTTCCCCTTCGAACCGGAAGTACCTGAAACATAAACAAAAAATCGTAAGCACAAAGTTTAGTGAGTTTCTCCCAAAATACAACATACCATACATAAAATGAGCCCCACCCGACCTCCATCGGGCCCCGCCCAGTACAAGTCTGTCAGTAACAAGTGATGGGCCCCACCCAACACACTCATCAGGCCCCGCCTGGGATCAGTCCCCGCCCGACATACATACAAACACATACAATACATGCAAGATTCACACAGACAGCTAGCATTCTAGTAACAATAATCTATGGGTCAACATTGGTTCCTTCAACGCGTTAAAACACTGTGAGAAGACTCACCTCAATCCGCTGATAAACAAATAGCACTCGAGCTGCTGAACCGGAAAATCCTCGTACTAAACCACACAAGTAATAAAACCCTAAGTATAAATTAGGCCATAAATCTTAACCGATAATATAAATCGTTAATCCTGAATCCTAGGGTAAAAGACCATCTTACCCTTCCCTTAATGGGCTCCTCAATCCATGGCCCAAGCCTAGAAGACCTAAGGCCAAACAAGGCCCAAGAGACCTAAAGCCCAACAATGGCCCAAATACCTAAGGCCCAACAATAGCCCAAAAACATAAGGCTCAACAATGGCCTAAAAGTCTTAAAGCCCAAAAGGGGCCTGGTGAGTATGATAAGCGTACCACCTAAGTACGCCCGACGTATAACTTCACTACCAAAGGGAAACGGGGACTCAGACGCATATGCTCAGCGTACACTTGCGTACGCCCGACGTACGCTCCAACATGCCAAAACATCATAAAGCACTTAATGCTATTAGTCCAAACGTCCATTTTGCAGATCTAGTTTTTGGGGAATGTATTAAATGATAAAGTCACCAACCTGATGCCTTTACATGGCTTAAAGAGACTCAAACCCTAGATTTAACATTTTACTCCCATCAAATGATCATCAACTCATGCATGGTTGATCTACAACCATCTAGATGCAAACTTTATGAACTAGGAACCTCATAAACATCAAAATGGACAACTCAAAACTTATGGAGTAACATTTACTCACAAGAACTCATTCATGGGACCAAAATATGCTCAAATCTCAACTAGTCCTAGATCTAAGCATAGAATAACCAAGTTTAATATGTTATACCTCTAGGAAGCTGAGAAAAATGAATAAACCTTGGATCTACAAGCTCCAACTTGATCAATCCTCTTTCATCAATCTTCTTCTTCTTCAAGATGTACCAAACACACACCAAAACACACACAGGGATCAATTCTCTCTAAAAATGGGTTAGGGTTCGAGATAATGCTTTTAGGGACAATGGAGGCTGGTAATGAGAGAAACTTGGGGCATAAGGTTACTTAAATAGGGTCCAAACCCTAAAATTTAAGGTTTGCATCTGGCTTAGGTGTGCCCAGCATACCACATGTACACCCATTGTACTAGGAGGAAACCTTGAGTCCAAAGCTCGCCATCGTACACATAATGTACCATGATTACTCCCAGCGTACCATGATTACGCCCAACGTACTAGGCCAACTCACAAACTCAATAATACTTATATCTTAAGAATTTTTACCTGGAGACTAGGCGTTACAGATAATGAACTAAAAAATATAATGTACTTTTCAACCAAGTAATAGTAAGTGATATTTTATCATTATTCACCTTTAACATCCCACAAAAGGAAATGTACTATGACCAAAGTACCAATATAACTAAACAAAAGGGGTAATAATGATTAGAACCAAGGTTCCAATTCTGCCTAACATATTGGACATGAACTGGAAATCTGTTACCAAAAGATATATGTTTAAAAAAGGCAGACAAAAAAACTAATGCCCATTTTACCCCTACAGTATGAAACATGCTAATCCAAAGATTATGAAACATTTTACCAAAAGATATGTAAAAAAGGGCAGGCTAAATATTAATGCCCATTTTACCCCTATAATATGCATACATGCTAATCCAAACACCAAATCTTGTACTTAATAGAAGGGCCCTTCTTCTCAGCATTCAAAACAGGTTCATCCTGGGCTATCTTTATCTTTAGGATTATTTCAGAAGGTTTCTTCCTCTTTAAAAAATAAAACTGGTGCATGTTTAGCCCTCGTCTTCTGTCTCTTTTGTCTCTACGATCTATTCCTTATCACTTGTAAGAAACATAATTATCATGATAGGAATAACAAGGAAATATAAAAAGTGTCAACTATATTTCTTACCTTTTTCATGGCTAATTAGATTTCAGATTGTGGATATCCAGATAAAACCATGTATTATAACATGCCCTCATCATCATTATTGTCCTCAACCTCATTCTCCATTTCGACAACCTCATTGTTATCATCCTTATTCTCCATGTCCATAACCTCATTTTCCTTCTCCTTAACCTCAAGCTCTTTCACCTCAACCTCAGGCGGTTTCACCTCAACCTCAGGCTATTTCACCTCAGCCTTGGTCTTTTTTACCTCAACCTCAGTCATCCTATCATCAACATAAAGTGTATTCATTAAGATGTCATTAATGAATTCTTCACAAGTAAGGGATATATCTGATGGCCCTCCTCCCTCATGCACCTTCTCATTAATCACAGGCTCCTTCTCCTTAACCACAGTCTCCTCCCTTTTCCCACCTCTTTTTATTTTTCCCCTTCTCATCGCCTTAATATTTTTCCTTTTCATAGGAGCAATTATGATATTTTGTGTAACACCCCGAATTCAGAAGGTCAAGAAAGTAAAGAAAAACCCCAAGTCAAGAGTTCTACTCATCGAGTCGAGGGAGGAACTCGACGAGTCGGGGGACTGACTCGGCGAGTCTGGTCTGGGTTGGGAAACCCTAATTTCGGGACTTGGTACCCTATTTAAGCATCTCATTCTCATTCTATCAGCCTCATTTGTAGCCTCCATTGCCCAGAGCCTAACCCACGAAACCCTAGTGTTCTCTTTGAGTGTGTGAGTCGTTATTGAAGGATTTAGAGTGTTCTTAGAGACTAGAGGAAGAAGAAGGAGGTTAGAGGTTCAAGGAGAAGGTGGTAGATCCAGGAAGTTTGTTTCATCTTCATCATTCTCTGGTAATCAAGTTTCTATCTTGCCTTGTGGTTTCATATATCTCTTCTTTGTCACCTTTGGGGGTTTTGGTCCAAGAACCCTAGCATGAGAGGAATGGACGTCCCAAGGGCTTGTATTTTCAAATCTAGCACCATTAAGGGCTGTTATGACATAAAGGTGCAAGCTTTATGTCGCTAGAACTCTCTATGCAAGGTTTGAGAGGTTGTTATGGCCTTTTGAGCAAAAAGGGCCATGCATGGATGTAAAGGCAGAGGCTTTGCGTTTAATTTAGACCCTAGAAGGTTAGATCTAGGTCCTGGATGCCTTGTGCTCGACTAAAATCGTCTGAATAGAGTTGGACATAGAGGGACTCGGCGAGTCAAGCCATTTTCTTGCCCTAAAACCATTCTGTTAAGGGTATGAGTTGAGTTGGTAAGGGCTCAGCCAGTCTGGGTCCATGGTGGACACGAAGTTCATCGTACTCGACGAGTTCAAGGAGGAACTCGACGAGTCCAAGGTAATCTCCCAATCTTTGAAGATGGACTCGACGAGTTGTTCATACAACTCGGCGAGTCATAGACTGGACACATTCTTATGAGGGAGATGAAGTCGACGAGTTCAAGGATGAACTCGGCGAGTCGGATGAAGATAGTACCGATGGTATGATTGAAGGAGAACCCGTCGAGTTCTTGCTAGACTCGACGAGTAGAGTCGGGGTTGGTTTGGGTGAGAGGAGTATGGACTCGACGAGTTGGTAGACCAACTCGGCTAGTCGGGTCAACTGGAGGTTGACTTTGACCAGAGGTGACTTAGTTTGACTTCTGGAGGGCATCTTTGGGACTAAGTGTTATGTTGGTATTAGTAGCTCGGGGAGCTAGGGGAGCAGCGGTTCGGGGAGTTGCCAGATAGCAGGCAGGAGGGTATCAGCAAGAGCTTCAACAGTGCAAGGTGAGTCTCCTCACTGTTTGTATGGGTCTACGACCACAATGCCGGCCCATTTAGTTTATGTATAGTAAGAAGACCCGGGGGTTTGTTGGATATAGTGTCTAAGTCCATAACTATATTTGGTATGTACTTGACCCGACCCGGCATGGTCCATTTGGGTTGCAGTTCACCCGAACAATTTTATGGATAATCGTTTGAGAATAGTATAAGTTATGATTTATTAATATATTATAAGTCCTAATATATTAATATAAAATCATATTATTTAATTAGTATTGATCTATAATTAATCTAGAATTAATTTAGAGATCAAAAGTATGACTAATTAAATATGGGCTCTTGTATTTATATAGTGTGGGCTAATGCTTATTTGGAATGGGCTAGGCTTGCATGGAAAGTCCATGGATACTCCATGGAGCTTTAACCCATGGATCTCATGGAAATGAAAAGACATGGGTATTAGGGTTTACATGGATGTAACCCTAATCCACCACACTATATAAAGGAGGCTTTGGTTCTTGAAATCACATGAGTTGTGGTGAGTAAAGTAAGAGGGCCGATTTCAAGAAGGTGATTACTATTCTCTCAAAGTTCCAAGTTTGTGGTGATTTGTGATTTCCATTTGAGGCATCCACACTATTGGTTCTAGGCTCTAAAACTCCAAGCAATCAACTACAACTACAAGATAAGTAATTCTACTAGCTTGATTTGATTCAAGTTCCCCATCCCATGCTAGATAGGATAAGAACCAAGGAAAAATAATTATTTGCATGTATCATAGTCAAACATAGATCCAAGGTTTCTAGGGTTGCATGTACACCATAGGAGTGTTAGAATGCTCAAAAAACCATCAGTGGTATCAGAGCCTGGTTTGTTTATTTGATACTTGATGCAAAAAAAAAAAAAAAAAAAAAAAAAAACTTGAAAATCGAAGTTTTGTTCAAAAGTTCGTATCAAAATTTCAAGTTTTGTATATGTACTTACGATTCTTGAAATTTTTGATATGAACATTCATAAACATATGAGTTTAGAAGATCATAGAAATTATGTGCTAATAATTGATTAGATTAATTTTTGATCTTTATGTGTTTTAATGAAGTCCATAATTAGTTCTTAAGTTATGGATAACCAAAAGTCACATTTATAAATAACCATTAAAAGAACACATAGGTTACAAAAAATGAAGAGTCTTCATTTTTAATAACCATTAACTCATAAGTTATGAGAAATGAAAAGTTTTGAAAGTTTACAAAACTTGCCCTCAAGTTTTGGAACATGTAAAGTCATATTAAAAACTTTAGTTCCAACCCCTAGAATTTTAAAAGGTAAAATTCAACCCTTATACTTTATAATATTATAAGTTTAATAATATTTATATATGTATAAGATCAAGTCGTCTTACCGCTAGACGCCTCATTCACGAAGCCGGTCTATAAGGGGGGTATAAGGTTGTTGCCTATAAAATGGCAACTTAATGGGTGTCCACTCTCACCCACCGCTTCCTTGATCGGTGGAGGGTCGTTAGCCGAATGAGTAGGACAAGGACTTATAAATTCTCATTAAAGTATAATGATAATACTAAAGTAACTAAACTTTATTGAATTCCCAATCTTAGTTATTTTAGGAAATGTGAATAAGGTGCTAATCCATGAAATTACACTTTACACTTTGTTTAAGTCGTTAGTGGAGCGTGTGTGGTTAACCGGCACACTAACTTGAACTTAACAAGGTAGGTAAAGGGTGACTTAATGTTTATCATAGTATCGATGGAGCGTGTGTGGTTAACCGGCACGTCGATTGAGGGGTAATACATTAAGGGTACCAAGTAATTTGCATGGTTACTTCACACCTTGTTTTGTGATCTTCGGCATCCCAGTCACAAAACTTGAAGGGCACACTCGAGATTGAAACATGCCATTGAAGAAAGTTCAATGAATCTCAAAGAATCTAGGAGTTTCTAAACCAATTAAAACCTAATTAAATATTTCGTTTTTCATGGTGGAAATTGGTGAATCGTCATTCACCTACCTTCAAATATCTTATAGCTTAGATTACGGCATCCCTCTTCTAAGTTATAAAATATTGTGTTGGGTCCTAGCCTTAATATTACATTTGGGTGTTTTGTTAAGGACTATCTCTATATCTAATCTAATCTATTCCCTCTTCTTTTCAGATGTCTTCCAATAACAATGCTTCTGGCTCAAACCCTACTAGCTCCTTCTCTCTCATGAATCTTTGTGGGAGAGTCATCTTTGATGGGTCCAACTTTACAGATTGGATCAGAAACATCAGGATGGTCACTCGGTATAAGAACAAAGAATATGTTCTCGACAAGGAGCTGAAGAGCTTGCTGAATATGAGGTACATGAAAGAGATGCTACAAAAGTGGCATGCATCATGATGGCCACCATGACAGCCGAGCTCCAAAAGTCCTATGAGGACTATTATCCTTTTGAGATGCACCTGGACTTGATGGACCGCTACCATCAAAGTGCTCGTCAAGAGCGATATGAAATAATCTCCTCCATGATAACAACCCGAATGAAGGATGGTGAACCCATCACGGGCCACATGCAGAAAATGCAAAGGTATGTGGACTGTTTACTGAAGCTGAATGTGAACTTCCCTGAGGAGTTAGCAATAGACATCATTTTGCACTCCTTGCCATCATGTTATGATCAATTCCGCATGACATATCACATGAACAAGGAAGAAGTCACCCTCAGCAAACTTCAAGGACTCTTGAAGACCGCCGAAAGTGGTCTAAAGGGTAAGTCGGTTGTTACTACTCCTACTCCTATTCCAACTGCGGCCAATGTCTTGGCAATCGGGCATGGCAAAGGGAAGAAGAGAAAGAACCCTTCTAAGGGTACCAAGGGTAAGACCCTTGAAGGCTCCTCTTCAAGCAAAACCAAGAAAGGTTTTGTCACTCCTTCTGCTAACCCTAATGAGGCTGAATGCTTCTATTGCCATGAAAAGTCGCACTGGAAGCCCAAACTGCCCAAAGTACCAGCAAGATTTGAAGGATGGGAAAGTAAAACCCAACCATGCAGGTATCTACACTATATTGTCTAATAACTCACCTCATTCTAAGTCTTGGGTCCTTGATACAGGTTGTGGTATTCACATATGTTGTGATTTGCAGGGACTAAAAAGAAGTGAGAATGTGGAGCAGGGAAAGATAAACTTGATCATGGGAAACAGGAAAGCTTCACCTGTCACCAAGATAGGAGTTTATTCCTTAGTGCTAAATAGTGGGTTTACATTAGATTTGAATAAATGTTATTATTCACCAGAAATGGCAAGAAATGTTATTTCCTTTCATGCATTGTATAAACAAGGTTTTACCTTTTATTTTGATAATAATAATGGTAGTATTGATGCTTTCTTTAATAATGTTCTTTATTTTAAAAACATTACCTTGTGATGGCGTGTATGAAACTGTATCTGTTGTAGATAATCTAGGAAATAATGTATTGTGTATTAACTCTTCCACTAGCTTAGATAAAGCATCCTTATGGCATTGTCGTCTTGGACATGTAAGCAAGAAACGCATAGGCCAACTCGAAAAGGATGGAGTCTTGGAGTCATTTGACCTAAAGTCAGATGATAGTTGTGAATCTTGTTTGCTTGGTAAAATGACAAAGTCACCTTTTACTGGCACTTGTGCTAGGGGTGAAGGTTTGTTG